TTGTGTGATATAACCCTGGGGGGATAGCTGATTTTCATAAATATCTAGTTTCTTTTTCCATTATTCACAGTGTGGAGTCACATTATATATGCATTTAATTATACCCATTCAACTATCTGTGCTGCAGGAAAGGAAAAAAAAAAGCGAGAGAGAAAAATACTTTAAATAATGGTGGCAGGATGCCTGCCCTACATCCTTGCACCAGAGTAAGCATGCGATGGAGAGTAAATGTACTGCTTTTCAACCAATCTAAAGACCTATTCACCTGTCAAATGGTATCTCACATAGCCGACTGATTATGATCCAGCTCACCAAAAAAGTAGCCTGTTCTAAAAGCTGGAGGAAAAACTGTGCGAATTGAAAAACAATATATCAGTTAACCATTTTTTCAAACTGGTGCCTTCCTAAAGAATTGTTTCAATGGTCATTTTGACAAGATTTTTAATATAAGTGAGAATTTAGGCCCAAAGCCGCCACAGAAAAGATTTCACTTTACTCAGTTCTTTAAATCAGGAAAAATTAGAAACCAAATCATTATCATTTATATCAAACTAAGCTAATAACTAATGTATTTTTCAACCTATTTCACAAATATAAGAAAATTAAAACAGGGATACATATGTGGGAGTTATCCCATGACTATTTTTAAATAACTAAAAATGTAATAGAAGTCCATCAAGTAATCAAAAGCAACCCTTAAAAGTTGGTTCTCAGTAGGAATAAATAAAACACACACACACTGAGTTTTGAGATATGCCATTACTAGAGTACAAAATAAAGGCAAGGGTGAAAAGAACACCCAACTAAGAGGAAGCTTCTAACTCCAGATACTTTAGTAGCATCACTTACCTCTCCAGATATCAGTTACCTTTTCTGTAAAAAGGGACTAGTCTATGACCTATCTATGATAATTCAGCATTATTATTTTCCAACCCCATACATCTTTATTTCAATGTCCAACTCACAAATTCCTTTGTGAAAAACTAAATAAAATAGGAGTCAATTAATCTAACTTGCTATCATTGAGGTAGAACTGTCTTTCATATAACACAACAGTTATAATTATTTTTATTTAAAATTTCTGAGAAAGATTCTACAGACATCAGCAAGCTCCATATTATGTAATCAGGAAATTCTACTTTACACAGTTAACTCACTTTTACCCAGAAATTTAATTTCTTACCTAACTAATATCTGAGTGTCAATAGATCACTTAAAAACAAGATCCATAGGGAATAAGTGAGAGTCAACAAGAGAGAAATTTTGATTAAGAGATTAATTATAACTAAATCTATCCCATCTCACACATATAAAGACTTCAAACATAGGGTGCTTCTTACATTCTTCGTTCATACTAGTATTAGTGACCTTTGGTGATAGGAAGAGGCAAAAGATACAGTTTCACCTGTACCTTAAAAGGAACATGCCTCACAATTGTTTCCAAAGGTCTAATATGGCCTCTTTCCTTGGGGAGACAGCTTGTGATACATAAGTCCTTTTTTTAATTGGCAGTCTTAAAGTCTGCTATTTGAGTTAATGTTTTACCATCTCAGACCTAAGAAAGGCCCCAATATGAGCCTTTGGGTCAAAGATGTTACTAGATCTGGTGTTGGGATAGTTCTCTGGAAACTTCATCAATCCCTATCCTCAACTTTGCTCATTCTCAGACATCTGATTATTTGAACAGCTCTCCCTTTCTTTCATTCCATTTATTCCCCTTCTTACTGATTACCATAAAGTAATTTTTTAACTCACTATTATAACAAGGATCATTTTGTCCAATTATCATTTTTCATGACACTTCACATTACATCTATTTTTAATCTTACTAATACAAATGTTTCTAACTCATAATTTTTATAATTACTTATTACCGTTAACTTCAGGACATTCTACCTTATAAATACCACCAGTTTTTCTCCAGGTTAAATATGCCCAGAACCTTTTACTTTTTTACCTAAATTTCAAAATATGTGCCCAAATTCTGATCCTCCCTTATTTCTTTACTCTCAAAATATGAAGATCAACAAAACTCAAGTGAGACTCTAATAATTACTTCCTTGCCTCTTGCATGTTTCCTGCACAAGCCAGGATAGTTAATTAGAACACGGTTTTTTGATGACTACAGATTTACTCTCTTGGTAGGCCAGTTAGTTTCATTTCAAACAGACAAACTATGCTCTAAAACAAAAAACTAAATCCTATCAGCTATCTCTTTTTGTCCATTGCTTTTCAGAGAGAGTGGAAGGAAGGGAGGGAGGGAGAGAGGTGCAGGGAGAGGGACACACATTGCCTCCTGCACAAGCCCTGACCAAGGGGCAGGGAAGAGAACATGCAACCCAGGTATGGTCCAGGGGGGATGCTCTAATCACTAAACCACACCAGTCAAGGCCCATCAGCTATCTCTTATCTGGATTTAACCAGAGGAGCTAACTGGCACATTCAGAATATGTTTGAATCCCTGGAACGAACATTCTAATGATGTATCACATAGACATCAGACACTGCATATCCTCTTTTAGCTCACCACTGTTAATTGTTTTAAAAATTTTATGAGTGTTGTCCAATTTATGGCCCCTTCACAAGGGGCCATAGTTAGTTTAGGTTACCAATTATACCCATGAACAGAATCCAGCTTTAGATAAACCAAGCAATCAAGATTAATTTTGAAATTCTATTTGTCTTCCAAGATTTTAGAAATTAACAATCACCTTGTTGTCATTTCCACCTTAAAGTTTTATTTCCACCACCACCACCCAGACCACTGGGAAAAAATACAGAATAAAGACAAACTTGCAGAGGATGCCCCCATATCTGACCATAACCCATTTCCTAGAACTGCTATAAATCTTAGGAATAAAGTATATTCACATTTTAAGACCTTATATTCACAGTGGTTGCGAAATCACCATGGTATACAAGCACATCTTGATGAAGTGAATGGAATGGAAGAGTGAAAGGAACTACTATATATTATGTGACAGGAAGAGTATTGCTTTCTTTACATTATGTCCTCAGCTAATCCTCAAAACTCGGAGGTATAAGTATTCTTTGTTAACTAAAAAAAAAGGAATAAGAAAAACAGAGAAGTTAAGCAACTTAGAGTATAAGGGACTTTGAAGACAGCCAGAATCCTAGCTCTGTTACTGTAGGTGACCAGGGGTTTCTAGTACTAGGTTTACCAGGTTAACTGTATGTGACTCTGGGCAACCTAACATCTCTGAACATGTTTCCTCTTCTGTAAAATGGAGTTTAAGTGAGACACTTCATGTCAAGTGTATAATTCAAAACATAAAATATAGTAAGCTTACTCAATAAGAGGAAGGGAGAGGGATAGAGAGTTAGAAACATCGATGAGAAACATTGATCAGCTGCCTCCTGCACACTCCCTACTAGGGATGTGCCCGAAACCAAGGTACATGCCCTTGACCGGAATCAAACCTGGGACCCTTCAGTCTGCAGGCCAATGTTCTACCCACTAAGCCAAACCGGTTAGGGCTGCCAACACACACTTATTATCCACATAAGAATTCATTCTTGAAACATGACATAGATGGGAAACTGATGCTACCTAAATGAGATAACTATTAATGGCTAACTAAACCAACAGAAGTATTTTAGCTCTAATATCTAATAAGCCAGAACCAAGTAGAAAACTCATCAGAAGATACTGTTTAGACATCCAGGCTTTGCTCTAACTACTATAAAATTATTTTCCTCTGTAGAAACTTATCAAACCAACTAGAGGCCCGATGCACAAAATTTGCAATAATATTTAACGTTTCTGCATTTTAAAATTCTAACTTAAAATTCTGACTCATAGATCTAAAATAGTCATTACACACACAAATGTTCTCCTCATTCAGTTCAGAATCATGTGCAGGAAACACTGGTTTGTTTCGAGGTTTACGACTCCAAAATTTGTGCAAGGGGCTCAGCCCCCGCTGCTGAAGCAGCTGCCTCTGCCTTGGCGCCGTGGCTTAGTCTGGAAGGTCATCCAGAAGGTCATCTGGTCTAATTAGCATATTATGCTTTTATTATTATAGATTGTAAATTAAATTTTTAAGTACCAGAGGTACCCCAAATAAGTCTTCCTGGTTGTCCTGGACAAAGAAATCAGCCCTCCTACTATATTATTTGAACACTGCATCAAATTGAAAAATCTCAACTTTATTTTCAGAATAAACTACTACTTAATATTGTTATTTATTTATAACTGTACTAAGTGTACTTATAAATTGAGACAACCAAACAGTATCATCACTTTTCCTACCCAGTCCCTTGACCCAAAACAAGCTTTGTTGTTGTAACAATGTTTAAAAAATATCACTTAAAAATCTAACGGGGGGGGGGGGTATCTAATGGCGGATAATGCAAAACCAGGGATAGTAGCAAAAGTAAATTTCCATAACAATTATTAATAGGCTTACTATTTCAACCAACTGAGCGACACTGGCCAGGGCTCAATAGGCTTACTATTTCTAACAACTTCCAGGAACAGATTTGCCTTTAAAAAGGGTTGCTAAACCTGAATGGGATGCCCACATACATTTATTTTGGCAACTGTAGCCTATTCAGCCAGGCAACAAGCCTCTTGAGAAAAGAATGCCACTTATATTCCAGCGAAACATGTGCCTTGGTACAGAGTCTGAGTTCTAACCAAAGGTAGAACATTTTTACTGTGTGATCACCCTTCAAAGACAATCCAATCAGAAAACCTTCACTTTAGCAACAAAGCTTTTAGAAAACAGTGTTCATTTTTGCAATAAATATTTAACGTTTCTGCATTTTAAAATTCGAACTTCTGACTCATAGATCTAAAATAGTCATTACACACACAAATGTTCTCCTCGTTCAGTTCAGAATCATGTGTAGGAAACGCTGGTTTCTGTTTCGAGGTTTACGACTCCATACCCATTCATTTTGCACTAATATAACCACTAAATGGAGCTCGAAGACACTGATGATTAGAAGCAGTTAATTGTGTGAGTAATGCCTACCTCCTATGTCCAGACACCGAGAGCCAAAGATGTTTCTGTCAGATCTACGGGAAAAGGAAACAATAAACACCTGTCACAAAAGGGGAAGCCACTGTCCATTCCCCATCCCATTCATTGGCCAGCACCTCCCACCCCCAAAAGAGGGGCTAAGAACCTAACTTATGAGCCTCATGGGGAGAAGGAAAGGCCACCTCCGTATTGGAGGAAAGGGCCTGGTTTTTCTAACTAGTCCTCACTGGGAGAATCAAAGCGAGAGGGAGGCCTTAGGCAAGTCACAAGTCATTTTTTCCTCTCGGGGCCTTCGCTCAGTTTCTCTGGAAAACACGTCTCTGGAAAACACGGCGATGAGCAAGGAGCTTTATGCTCCGGGGCTAAGGGCGAGCTCGAGATCCCTGGAGTCGGCATCCGCAGAACCCGGGCAGGGCCTCCACACCAGGCCTTCGCACCCACAACGTGGATGCCGCCTCCTCGCCTCACCTGTCCCAGGCCGACATGACGGTCCCAGACCCCCTCCCGGTGCCACACACACCTTCCCCGAGAAGTGATGTCCGATTGCGGCCCGAGGGGGCTGACCATAAGCTCACCTGGCACCCGCCACCCACGACAGACAAGCCCATTCGCCTCCTCCAACCTCCCCCATCACCGCCATCCACCCGCTCCCAGCCCCGCTCGCCCAGCCCTCCAGGGCCCAGAGA